TTTTTTATCTTGTGGAATGTCCATCACCTTATAGAAAAAAGTTTTATTGTTTCATATATTATGCATAATTTTTTCCTGAGATTTTTGGGTTGCTAAGCATTCTGGAAAGAAAAAAAAAACTACTTTGCCATCTTGCCTGTCAACCTGATCTCTTTTCAATTTACCATTGTTTCTTTTTGTTTTTTGTTGTTGTTTTGGCGAGGCAATTGGGGTTAAATTACTTGCCCAGGGTCCCACGGCTAATGAGTATCATATATCTGGGGCCATATTTGAACTCAGGTCTTCCTGACTCTAGGGCCGGTGCTCTATCCACTGCGCCATCTAGCTGCCTCCAAATTTACCATTTTTTCAAAGCGCTTTCATACATATATCTAAATCCAATAAACATGATGTGGAATAGTATAATTTGAGGGAAAGCGTATTGGAGACCATCAAGACTAATTGCCTCATTTTATACATGAGGATATTTGAGGCCCAAAGAAGTTGATCCTTAGACCAGCTCTGTCAGATATTAGTTAATCCCTCATTTTATAGATAAGAGAGCTGAGGATCAGTAAAAGTGCTTGCCGACAGATAGCTGACACAGTGCCAAAGACTAGAACTTAGCTCTTCCTGGCTTCTCCTTGCAATTTTTCTATACACCTTAAATCTAAGTTATAACTGTAGCTTCAGTTTGAGAGAGGCCCAGCAGTTTGACCTTAGGCCTTCTCTCTCTCAGTCTGGGGGATTCCAGTGAGTCAGCAAGTACCTCATTTGAATTCCCTGCCTCAAAAGTTGACACTTACGTGACCCAGAAAGGGGAGGAGGAAGTACTCTCTATTCATTAATCCTCTCCCCTATCCCTCCTATATCCCTTTTTGGACCTTAAGTAGGAGTTCTGTCTGCCCCTTTCAACATGACTGTAGTTTTCCTCTGACTTTTCTTATCATGGTGTCGGGTAAATTTGGTACTGGTACTGCAGTATCAGGACAGGGTTATTTTGGGGACAGCCCCAGTGGTTAGTGTGATGTCCCGTGTACTCAGAATGGTAAATGTGGGATAGAGGGATTCTAGGGTCTGGGTGAGGAAATGAGGTAAGTGGATTTTTTTCTACCCATCCTTTCTCACCGCGCAACTTTGCTGTGCTTTCTACTGTCAAAATGTCCTTGGCCAGCACAATGATTAGGTTAATCCCTTACTAAATGGGCAATCTGGTCTCCCCTTTTCTCTTAAAACAAATAGTCAAACAAAAAACATTTTAAAAAGCCCGGAGGACTGAAAGGAAGGTCCCTCCTGGATCATGCATTCTGGTATTCCTTGTCTTTCATCCTATTTGACATTCTTTTCTGGTCCTCTTTTCCACCAGTATCTTTCTTTCTGTCTCTCTCTTTGTCACAGTCTCTATCTCACTTTCCTTCATAACCCCAATCCTCAACATGCACTATATGTGTATCACTTTACCTTGGAGCATTCTCCCCACTCCCCCCACCCCTCCATTGTCTCAGCTGGTGCAGAGACCTTGAACTAGGTGACATCTGATGTCACTTCCAGATTGAAGTCTGTGAGCAACAGCCATGTGGAGACCTTTTTATGATGTACCTACTATGCTAGTCCTGTCCCTTAGGCAATGTGTTACAATGGAAAGAGAACTGGCTTTGGAATAGGGAGGCCTGGGTTTGAATCCTGGCACTGCTATTTACTGCCTGTGTGACCTTGGGTGAGTCATTTCATTTGGGCTTCAGTTTTTTCATCTGTGAAAGAAAGGGGTTGGACTGGATAACTCTAAAGTCTCTTGCAGTTCTTTGATCCTATGAACAACCTATAGTTCACATGGAACAATCCAGGAGGAGATACCCAAGGGGACTCTGTTTCTTAGGAATTAGTGAAAGTAGTATGAGGAGATCCCCCAGGGTTTTTGTCATGCCCTGTTATTAAGAATGTGTGTGTTCCTGTTCTTGGAATAAGAGTGGACCTTGGGGACTATTCTGCCCTCCATTTGCTTCCTGACTCAATGAAAGAGTATCAGGAGAGGACAAGTGTTAATGATAGTAGGTGTACATCTTTGACTAAGGAATAAGAAGAGAGTTTGGAGGCAGGTATCCATTTGCATGGCAGCTAGGTGGCTCCATGGATAGAGTGCCAGGCTTGGATTCAGGAAGACCTGAGTTTAAATCCGGCCTCAAACACTTATTAGCTGTGTGACCTTGGGCAAGTCACTTAATCCTGTTTGCCTTAGTTTCCTCATTTGTAAAATGAGCAAACCACTCCAGTATCTTTGCCAAGAAAACACCATCCAGGGGTCACAAAGAGTCGGACATGACTGACTGAACAATAACAATAACAATAACAACAACAACAACAACATCCATTTATTGTTCAGCTTTAGCTTTTTTTTAAAAAATATTTTTATTGCTATCTGTTGTTTTCACATGGACAGTGTTTCCTTTTGCGTCCCCAGTGTTGACTCTTATAATCTTAGATAGAGGCAACAACTCAGTACTGGAGTATACCCTCCTTGGAGAGTCCTGGCCCTCTGCTAATATGGCAGCACGGAGCCAACAAGTTTCTACAGAAATGTCTGCAGAAATATCTGCAGTGTGAGGGTAAGGGAATTTGGAGAATTTGGGGGCAGGCAATTGAGGAGAATTGCCTCCAATGGAGCTTCCTGAGGGCATGGCCAAGAGGTGGGGAATGAGACAGTAAGGCTCAGATTTTGCTGGTCACCATACTTCAATAGTAGGTCCCCATGGAGCTCTATTTGAGGGGCAGCAGTAACAAAAGGTGACCATCCAAGCTCCCTGTTGTACTAAAGGCCATTTAAAGGTGGGGCAGTGTGCAATATGTATTATTATTCGTGGGAACTTTACAGTTCTAATGCTAAGACCCTTCCCTCTCTCCCCCACCCCAAAAGTCTGTAGAATCCTGTGCTGCCTTCCTCTTCTCCATTCAGGCACACATACAAACGTCACAGAGACATAAAGAGGCTCCCCTTAATGGCTTTCGTCAGCCCTTGGGCCTAAGTGTCTGCCTCTGTCTGTATATTTCTCTGGTATGTGTGACAGTGAGCAAAAGGATGAGACGGAGGCAGGTTTGTAATCCTGTCAGCGTATGTGTGTGGATAAGAGAAGGGAAGGTGAACCTTTCTTCTCTTTACTAGGATTGGAGGGATAAAGTGTATCAGGGAAGGAGATGAAAGTGTTATAAATCATCCTGTCTGGGGGGAAGAAAAGTAACTTGATGCATTAAACTGTGGCGGTTCCAGCTCTATCCACTTCTAGTCCCTATAACAACAGAGTCTGATGGCTCTGAAGAGAAATCACCGAGGAACCTTTAGCAGCAGCTGGAGAGCAGGAGGCCTGGCTCCCTGAATGTCACCACTTACCACTCCTCATCCTAAGCACCCGTGGCTGATTTCCTTTGTACAGCTGACTTTACCCAGCTGCTCTCTGGTGTCCAGCTTGGGAGGCAGAGAGAAGAGAGGGATGGAAGCCCATAGCACCCAGGGAGCAATCCAAAGGCTGGGTTCTGTGCTTTCTGTAGTAGAAGGGCCTCTGTGGTACTGGGTGTTCCAGGGGAAAGGATGTTCACATGCGCATTGTGGTGGGAATGAGAGAAGGGAATCTTTGCTCACAGCTCTGGCTGCCTTGGCTAGGCTGACCCCAGTCTCTGGTCAGTTGAATTATACTGGCTGATCCACTTGTGGTTCAGTCACAGCTCTGGAATGTACTTAACTATTCAGTAGGAGACCAGAGAGACAGGGTTTGCCATTCTGTTTCAGTTTATGTATATGTGACTCTGGTTTTCTATATGAGACAGAGGTGACCAGCTGCAAAAGATAGTTTGCTTGTAAAGACCCCTGAATTGGCAGTAGAAAATGAGGAAGGAAATGGTTTAGTATTAGGGTATTTAGTATTTAGTATTACGTAAGGAAATTAGACATCTCCTACTTTTCTCTAGTCACTCTGGACCTTAACTCTGGATGATACAAGTAGGCATTGTAGGCGGGAGGGAGAATGAAACTCTCGAATGTCGGGTACTGTGCTTAATGCTGTGAAGCCCTCAGAGTGTCTGGGCAGAAAGTGCTGTGTGTCGTCCGTGTGGTGAGCACTCTGTGCCTGCATGGTGATGAAAATAGTACCTCAGAGATGCTAGACTGCTGTCCCTAGGTATTCAGCCTAGGGTGGAGGGCTGCTGATACTATTTCTACAGAAAAGCTATTCCTGCCTTTAGTTCCCTCTGTATGAAGGGTCAGGGGGCAGCAAAGATGACACTGGGGCCAATTTGAAGTTGTACATGTACTAGCTGCTGCTATCATGCCACTCTGTGGTCACCACCCCCATCCTTGGATGTAGGAGAAACACTACCTACTGCTCTTTGACTCCATTTTCCTAAAAGTGGCAGAATGGAAGAACAGAATACTTTTTTAAAGTTATAGGCCCCTGATCTGCAAGCCTTTCCCAGTTCTCCAAGCTGTTAGAGACTTCCTTCTAAGGTTATGTTCCATATACTTTGTACCTTTTATATCGATCTGCAACTTGTTTCCCCCTTTGGAATATAAGCCTCTTGAGAACAAGGACTGATTTCCCCTTTCTTTGTATCCTTATAACTTAGTAAAATTTAAGTGCCTAAAAAAATTTAATGATTGGTTGCTCTAGAACATCTTACATTAAAGGCATTGTGGCAGTGAAATCATTAGAGTCAAGACAGACCTAGGTTCAAAGCCTACTTCTGATACTTATTAGCCTATCTGGGCCTCAGTTTCCTCATCTGTAAAATGAAGTAATAATACCTGTAGAACTGACCTTATAGGATTTTTGTGAGGATCAAAAGAGATAATGTATGTGCAGCATTTTGCAAACTTTAAAAGTTTTATGTGAATGTAAGTTATTAATGTTATTTTATTACTCCCTTTAGAGAGCTCCTCAACTATGTAGTAGGACCCCATAAGGAATTGGGACTGTGGGCTGAGGTTGAAGTAGGGACATAACTCCAAATGATGATTTTTCCCTTCTTTATTTCAGAATCTTCTCTGCCCAAGACATTCTGGAAGAGAGTTCTTCCTATTGTACCTCCCACATCTACTTCTATTACCCTGCTCTTCCAGGTGGGTGCTTCTTTCCTTCTCACTGGTCCTAAGAGAATGGCTGGATCTGCATAGGAGAAAACTGAGATCGAGGAGTTCTGATTCGTGCAGTTTTGCATACTTTCTTACTCATATATTTGGTTCCTTTACTTGTTTGTGAGTTTCTTACTCATATGTTTAGCTCCTTTCTCTAGGCCAGGGGTGGGGAACCTGTGGCCTCAAGGCCACATGTGGCCTTTTAGGTCCTCAAGTGCCGCCCTTTCATTGAATCCAAACTTCACAGAACAAATCTGTTATTAAGGACTAGAGACTCCTCTAAGAGGCCACCATCTCTAGAGACATTCATTCAATTCAACAAATAACCATCAAGCAAGTTACCAATTACAGCTGAATTAACATGGTATATAATGGCTTAGGTAGAGAGAAAAGATGCTGTTTTCCTAGAGCAGGGATCCCTAACCCTACTCAACTTTAATTCTATTTCCTCCGCCCCACACTTTCCTGTTTTCCCCACATCCCACCCCTCAGGCCAACATGTGGACCTACCCATCAGTGACATCAAGAAAGAAATTCTAGGATCTGCCATCAGAAATGGACCTGGATCTAGCTTGTTGTATCTGCTCCAGTTGAACCAGTAATTCCTCCCTATGTGCTTAGTAGGAAAGAAACTCCTAAGGCATCTTGTTGACTGTTTTTAAGGAGAAAACAGAGGTTGAGCTGGTCAGTGGGGAATATTGACTTAGGCTAGGGGTAAGGATGAGCCCAAGGATGTCCTTGGGCCCAGTAGGATCAATCAGGCAGAAAAATGACTGACCCTTCTTCCCTGTCTCAAACTCACCTGTCATGAAACCCTTCAAGAGGCTGGTACAGAGTTATAAGTAGGATGGCCTGATTAGAGTTTTGTTTCAGGGCATCAAAATTTAATAACCAAAGAAGTTTAAAATAGTAATTTTATAGAATAGAATTTAATAGGATAGAATGTTGGGGTTGAAGTCAGGAAGAAAAGTTCAAATTCCACCTTGGATATTTTGCTACCTCTGTGACCCTGAGCAAGTCACTTAACTTCTCTCTGCCCCAGTTTCAACATCTGTAAAAGGAGAGGGTTGGACCAGATGACCTCTAATGTTCCTTTCAGCACAGTAATTTTACCCCTCATCAATATAGAAACCTAGTTAGCAAAAATAATTACACAAGCCTAACACTCATAATTTTAAATGTAAATGGACTACCGTGCAACAAAATGAAAGAGAGTGACAGAATGGACTAGAAAGCCAAACTCCACAATTTGTTGTATAAAAAAAATTATACACCTAAAAAGTAAAGACATACAAAAATAAAATGAGAGGCTGAAATAACACAATGATGCATTGAATGAATTGAAAAAAGCAGGAGTTGTAATTATGCTATCAGGTGGACCAAAAATAGAAATTGACAACATCAACAGAGAAAAACAAGGAATTACATTATGATTAAATACTAATATTAAATGTATATATACTAAATGTCATAGCATCTAAGTTCATAAAGGAAAAGTTCATTGCATTTCCAAAAGATATAAATAGAAATGCAATAATAGTAGGAGATGTCAATGTGCCTCTGTCAGAGCTGAGCACATCTAACAAAGATAAACAAAACAGAAAAATATAGAATGGGACAAACTGTTAGAAAAGTTATACCTGAAAGGCTTATTGTATATTCTGAACAAGCATTAAGTAAGATAAATATCGCATGACACCTTTACAAAAGCAAGCCATATATTAAGGCAAAATTATAAATATGTGTAATAAAACAAATTCTAAACACATCTTATATAGATCATAACACAACAGAAATAGCAATTCAACTACAAGGAGAAAAAGCAAACACAGACCTAAATACAAAAAATGCAGACCTAACTGGAATCTTAATAACAACTTCCTGAACAATGAGTGAGTCAAAGAACAACTTATAGAAACAATTGGTATAGAGAAAAAAAATGATAATGATGAGTCAATATATCAAAATTTCTGGGATGCTGCTAAAGCAGTCCTCAGAAGAAAAATTGCATTCATGAAAACATGTTAAAAGATTAGGAAAAGAGAGGATTAATGAACTGAATATGCAACTTTAAAAATTAATAAACTAAAAAATAGAGGCAGCTAAATGACACTGTGAATACAAGAGATTAGAGTGAGGAAAACAAATTCAAATTCTTCCTTGGAAACTTTATTAGTTTTGTGGCCCTAGGCAAGTCACTTCTCTCTGCCTCAATTTCTTCATCTATAAAAAGAGTGAGTTGGACCAGATGACCTCCAATATCCCTTCCAGCACAATATCTATGATCCTATAAAGAAGCACAAAATTGAAAATTAGATGAGAAATAAAATGTTTAAAAAGACTAAAGAGCTGATAGACAAGACTAAAATCTGGTTCTTTGAAGAAACTAACAAAAGCACTAAGCCTTTAACCAACCTAATTAAAAAGAAGAGAAAGAAAAATCAAATTAACTAAAAAAATGAACAAGGTGAACAAGTGGAATCACAACTGGTAGAGAAGAAATAAAAAGAATTATTTAGAGCCTATACCGTTATATGACAGCAAAAATGAGAACTCAAAAGAAACAGAGAATTATCTACACACAGTATGAAAAAAACCCTAACAAACTCAGTGTCAAATAGAGATCTCATTAGTTATAACTAATGAGTTATTTTCATAATTCATTTTCAGAAAAGGAAATTGTTCTAGTTGAAAAGGAAATGCCTGGTGGGGAAAAGTATGTGTGTGGGGAATATGTGGTTATAAAAACTCTAAACCCAGACAGGTTCACAAGAGGATTCTATCAGGAAAGCTAGGTGGCACAGAGCACTAGCCGTGGAGTCAGGAGGACCTGAATTCAAATCTGGCTCAGACACATAACACTTACTAGCTGTGCGACTTGAGGCAAGTCACTTAATCAACCCCAATTGCACACACACACACACACACACACACACACACACACACACACACACACACACACATGATTCTATAAAACTTTTAAAAAATAATCAATGCCTCTACTACACAAATTATTCTTAGCCACCGAGAAACCAAAAAACTCTACAAAATTCCTTTTGTGAGGTATAGTCCTAATATGTAAACCAGGGAAAGATAAAACAAATAAAGAGCAGCAGAGACCAATCTCATTAGTAAAGAGTAATTAAAATTTAAAAGATAAAATTCTCATTAAAAGATTACACCAATGTAACCCAAAAAGTTACTCTCTCTAATCAAGTTGGCTTTATACCAGGGATGCAAGGATGATTCAACATTATGGAAATAATTAGCATCATTAATCATATTAAAAAATAGAAACATTAAAGAATAATTAAACAAGAAAACTATCAGATGACAGACTTCCTCCTGCTCCCTTAGATGCCAGTATACCCTCTTCCCTTGGGGTAGTTTCTTAAGGTCATTCCCTCTTTTACCTCCCTGTCCTACACATAACCATTTAATTTGAGAGTCGATTTTGAGTTTCTTGGATGTGTGTGATTAATCATAGCTACATCTGGAAGGAAACACATGGGTCTGGCCTCCTTCCTCCCTACCCAAGTCAACAAAGTAACAAGGCTTTGTCCACTGAACATGTAACAAAATACTGGAGATTTATTCTCCTCTTTGGGTGCCATTGGACAAGATGGATTACTCTTGACTATTCTGAAGACCCTCCCCCTTCCTGGGGACTCACTATCTTCCATGGAAGTTGCATGCCTCTACACAGCTATGTCAGAAAGTGAAAGGGCCCTAGCAAGGGCAACATATTAGCAACCTAGGTGCTAAGAGCCTATTCACAGGGCCTCAGGAACATGGGTTTGTAGTAAGGGCCAAGATAGTATAGAGACAATCAAGGGATGGTGAAGAGAGGCCATATCTACCCTCTGATGGTACACCACATTCTCCGTGATGTCCAGTAGGTTTAGGGGAGAGAATGGAGGACCACAATTAGCTTTGTCTTTGACTCTAGAGTGGGCCCTGAACTATGTATTACCTTTGCAGGAACAGTAGAAATGGCAGCTAGTACTTCCTTTGCTGATCCCAGCTGTGATGATTTTGACCGAAATGTGCCTCGGATCTGTGGGGTGTGTGGGGATCGCGCTACTGGCTTCCACTTCAATGCCATGACTTGTGAAGGCTGCAAGGGCTTCTTCAGGTAAATTACTTAACACAAGCTGTTCGTTAGAGGGGGAGAGTGGTAATGAGCTCTTCTTGATGGTAATCCTCTCATCTTGGCTGCTGTGGAATTGGCTAGGGGGATTGGTAGGGCGATAAGGTCTCCATCACCAAATTCTCCTGGCTTCTTGTTCTTGGGGCTCAATGGCTGACATTTGTGAAGAGTCCCAGAGGTTCCTTCTCTAGGTCTTCCACCTAGATATCCAGCTTTATACGTAACCACTACCACCAATGGCCCAGGCTGTGTGAAGTTGACTGTTTCCTCTCCTGATAAGCATAAACAAACTGAGGGGAGCAGGAAGCTTATCACAGCCTGGGAACTTGATGCTCAAGTTCATCTACCCACGTAACCCAACTTATGGCCATACGACAGTGCCACATAGGGAAGAGTGTCAAACCTTGTGTCAGTAGCTTGCTCCTTGCCATTGAAGAGTCCTGACATGTAGCTAGTAGCTAGGTGACTATGGGCAAGTCATGTAGCTTTTCTGAAGATGTTTCCTCATCTGTAAAATGAGGGGGTTGGACAAGATGACCTCTAGGATTATTTCTAGCTCCAAATCCTATACTTCTAAGCTGTGATACTCAAAAGCTAAAACACCATAACTAGAAAACAATGCAATGCTACAATAGCAACAAGCGATTATTAATCAGTCACTGTATACCAGGCACTTTGCTAGGTACTGGGAATAACACTTGTCATGCCTAACCCACAGGGTTGCTGCGAGGAAAGAGCTTTGTAAAACCTAAAGCATTATGTAAATGTGAGTTACTGTAATCAGGAGTCCCAGTATCCCTTCTGTGCTCATATCCGTCTTTACCCGTCTCCCCTAGGTTCTGCCTATCTCTATGCCTCAGGAATGTCCAGATAATTAGAGAGGCAGATAATCAGATGAGGGCGCTAGACTCACAAGGCCAGGTGGACACATGAGTCCATGGATTCCTTCCAACTCTAAAATTCTATAATTTTCTGTCTGCAGAAGTTTTTGATCAGGGTCAACATCTTTAGCTCTCTCCATAGAAAAGGAGGTAGGAAGAACAGTAAGATAGATCCAGCCAGAGCCAAGAGAATGGGAGTTGAGAGGCAGTAGTTGAGAAGAGAAGAGAGAGAAATTATTGAAGAATTATTGATGTGGTGGTGGCAGAACAGGAAACTAGAAAGCAATATGATTTGGAGCAGATTTTTTGGGAGAAAGGAAGGATCATAGAAATTCGGAATTTGAGAGAAGGCATCTTAGGGACCATGTAGTTCAACTCATCCATGAAAGGAATCCCCACCTTAACATGCCTAATGAATGTTCATTCAGTCTCTGTTTGAAGACCCCCAAGGAAGGGCAGCCCACAAGTCCCCCAGGCAGCTCCGTTGCACTTTGGTAGGAACAGTCTTGTTAGGAAGTTTTTCATGATATCAAGCCTAAGTTTACCTCTTTGCATCTTTCACCTGTTGGTACGGTTTCTGTTCTCTGTGGACAAATAGAAATGTCAAATCCCTCTTCTGCATGACAGCTCTTCAGATACTTGAAGACATGCCCCAGCTTGAGGCTTCTGTTCTTCAGGCTAAACATCCACAGTTCCTTTAACTGGTCCACCAATGACATGGACTTGGTCCTGCATTATCCGGCCTGCCCTTGACTGTACTCTTTCCAGCTTATGAATGTCTTTTTTCAATTGGGGTGCCCAGAAATGAACACACTACTCCAGACAAGTCTTCCAAGGGCAGAGAACAGTAGGACTATCACTTCTCTATTCCTGGAAGCTATATTTCACTTAATACAGCTCAAGATCAAATCAGCTTTTTTGGCTGCTGCATTCTACTGCTGACTCATATTGTACTTGCAGCCCATTAAAATTTCTAGGTCTTTTTCAAAATAACTACTCTCAACACAGTGAATGAATAGAGCACCAGCTCTGGAGTCAGGAGAACCTGAGTTAAAATCTGGCCTCAAGACACTTACTAGCTGTGTGACCCTGGGCAAGTCACTTAACCTAGTTTGCCCTAGTTGCTCATCTGTAAAATGAGCTGGAGAAGGAAATGGCAAACCACTCCAGTATCTTTGCAAGAAAACCCCAAATGGGGTCACAGGGAGTCAGACACACCTGAAACAGCTCAACAATAACAACAGCCACAAACCATACCTTCCCAATCTTATATTTGTGAAACTGATTATTTTGTACAAAAGTGCAAAACTTGGCATTTCTCTCTAGTGAACTTTATCTTCTTAGATTTAACCCAGTGCTCTAGTCTGTCAAGATCTTTTTGCATCCTGACTTTTTTGCATCCCATGAGTTAGCTATGCATCCTGGATTTTTGTCATTTGCACAACTGAGGACTATGCCAATGATGCTTTTATCCAAGTAACTTATTTTAAAAAGCTAAATATCATAAGGTACAGTTCTTTTTTTGGTACAGTTCTTTAAAGTGCTTCTTTGGAAACTTCTTGCCACATTCACATTGAACCAATAATGACTACTCTTTGGGTCCAACAATCCAACCAGTCCTGAATTTATTTAATTGCATTGTCATCCCCATCTCCTCTCCATCTTCTCCACAAAGTGTGGGATACTTGATCAAGACCATTGCTAAATGGTCTAAATAAACACAGCATTTCCCCCTATCTACTAGTTTAGTAATCCTGCCCCCAAAAAGGAAGTGAGATTAGTCTGGCATGACGGATTCTTGACGAGGCCATGGTGATTCTTCTTAATCACTAATTCCCTTTCCACGTATTTGCCAACCAGGAACTGAAGTCAAGCTAACTGATTCTGTTCTGTTTGTGGGCTCTGTTCTCTTCCTCCAAGACACTACTGCCCTCCTCCAATCTTGTGGCACCTCTTTTCATTTTCTATGATCTTTCAGATATCACTGACAGAAGCTCAGCAAGTCCCATCTGTCAGGGTTTTTTGTTTGTTTGTTTTGGTTTGGTTTGGGGGTTTTTTTGTGCATCTTTCAGGAACAGTGAGGTGGCACAGCAGATAGAGCACTAGACTTGGAATCAGGAAGACCTGAATTCAAATCCTGCTTCAGACACTTACTGGCTGTGTTATCAAGCAAGTTGCTTAAATCTCTCTCAGCGCCAGCTTCCTCATCTATAAAACGGGGGACAGGATTATGAAACTAAAATGAAAGAACACGCGTGAAGCTCTTTGAAAATTTTAGAGTACCGTATGAACGTTAACTTTCCTTCTCTTCATCATTATTATCTGATATAGTTCATTTGGGCCAAGTGACTGAATTCATTGAAGGCAATTAACTGCTATTACTTGCATATCTTCCTATAGACTCCTTGATGGTCATTTGTTGTTGTTCTATCATTTACAGTACAAAGATCATTAACATTGGAAGAGAAAACAGGAGCAAAATAAAAATGAAGCAGTTTTGCTTTTTCTCTGTTATTTATCACTGCCCCATTTCCACCACTCCCCCAAGCAAAGATCCTGTGCTTTCTTCGATATTCGTTGTTTCTCCTCCTTCCTTTTTCTCCCAAAACAGCTGTGTGTATATCTACCTACCAATCAATTGATCGATCTGTGTATTTTTTATTTTAATTTTTTCTTTTGTCCTTAACTTCCCTTGCCTGCTCTGCTCACTCTGGGCTTCAGTGCCCTGACATTATTTTTCAGGACTATCATTATCATCTGTTAACTGGTCTTGCTTCCATCTTTTGGTACATTTTCTTTTAAAACCTAAGTTGATTATTGAGTTTCTTACATATCCATATCAAATGCCTTCAGACAAATCCCTTTTATTCCTCCTCATTGGAATTGTTCCTCTTTGTCTTCAGAATTTTATTTTTAAGTATCACTCATCCTTCTTGGGCTGACTTCCCCTGAATCATTTTAGTCCATAGCATCCTAACTATCTTTCCTCTGAACCATTTAAAATCTCCTTTCCTCACATCTAGATTACATGTCACACTGTGCCTGGATTTTCTCCTTTCTGTCAAAACCCTGGAAGTGAATAGTCACTTCTTCCAGGGTTCCCATTATTTCCACCCCAACAAAGGGAGTTTCTCGCTTTTAGTAAGAATCAGATCCAGAACAGAGTTACCCTTGTTTGTTCCTCTGTCTTCTGAAGGATGAAATTACCACTCTAGAAAATTAAGAAGTTGTTGGCATCTCTTCTTTTGGCATAGAAAGATGGAGCCCTCGCAGATATCAGGATAATTGAAGTTGCTTTTTCTGCCTTTGAGCTGGATTTGCAGTGTTAACTAAGCTCCTGATCTATTTTTTCTCTGTTCAGGTGGTCTATAAATCACTTCTGTTCCATCCTTCTTTGACTTCTACCCAAGTACTTTCCTTCATTACTCCGGTTCTTGGATTGCCTCACTTGAGGATACCTTATTAAAATATATTGCTGCCCTTACCCACTCACTGTCCACACTCCACCCCCTTTAACCTAGTTTGTTTCTTTGGAAAGAAGATGAAGTAAACCCATCCAGAGCCATAGTCCAGACATGGGTTTCATCTCACTATATCTAAGTGATACCTGTAAAACCAAATTTGCTTCCTTATGTTAGGACTTCTGTTTCCTCATATTTGTTGTCTAAACTTTGTTTGTTGTCTAAACTTTGGGCATTTATGTACAGACCCATTTGAGGCCATGGCTCCTTTCTGGGATTTTGTCTCCTGTGAACTTCTGGGTGTATTCTTCTTTTCTTTGAAGCTACTTTCTATGATACCTAGCTTGGGGAATTTACATAGACAATCTCCTATACTTTTTAGTTTAAGTATTTTTATTAGCTGTATGAGATACTTGGCAAATTCATTCTTATCAGACTTTGTTTAGGCATAGTCTGTCTTTAACCTGGGATCTGATATCCTTATATTTTAAGCAGAAGTCTAAACACAATTTTTAGACATTATTTTCTTAGCTAGCTGTTCTCTTCCCAAATTAATTTATCTTTTCTGCATTGCCTTGCCTTCTTCAGTGAGTAACAATGAGGAAAACGCCACAGTAGGAGTCTTCAGTTTCTTGCCTAATAC